ACTTTATAGTTAATTTCGTATAACACAATATCCTTATGTTATTTATCAATTTATGTAATGTTGAAAGTCTTCCTGAAGGCAGAAGATAACACTTTAGCATCTACTGTATGATCCAATCACTGTACACCAACAAGGCAGCTTGCAGACCCAGAGACCCCATTAGATTTTGGCTATAAAAACTCTCTCTTGCCAGGTCCTCCTCTATTGCTCTCTCTCATTTTTTCTCTCACTTTCCCTGTCTCTTATTCTCCCTTTCACTTTTTTATTTTTTCTTCTCTCTCTCTCTCTCTCTTGCACTTCTCTCTCTCTCTTGCACTTCTCTCTCTCTTTCTCTCTCTTGCACTTCTCTCTCTCTCTCTCTCTCTCTCTCTCTCTCTCTCTCAAAAAAAAACCAAACAAACAAAAAAAAAACAGTTGACCATAGACACATGGGTTGTTTGCTAGTTTGCCAATTGCATTCCATTGATCTCTGTCTATTCTTATGCTTGTAGCATGTTTCAATCAATCATTGATTGTTGTTACTCTGTGATATATTTTTAAATTAAGGAGTGTGAGTTGTCCTTCCTCTTTTTCAGTATCGTTTTGACCATTCAGAGTCCTTGCAGTTTTATTTGAAGATAAGTTTGTCAATAACTAAAAATAATTCATCTGGGATTTTGATCAGAATTTCATCGAATCACTAGTTAGATTGGGACAGTATTACTAGCCTAACCCTATCAACTCCTCTAATCTATGAACCTGTGATTTTTCCCATTTGGGGGATCTATTTAAATATCTTTAAAATATTTTCAGTTTCAGAGTAAAATTTTTGTAAATTATTATATAATTGTAATTGCTTCCTTAATTTGATTTTCAGATTTTACATTGCAAAAGCATAGAGAAATAATTTATTTTTGTATATTGAACATGGAGCCTAAATTCTTGATGAACTAGTTAGTTTGGTCTAAAGTTTTTAGTGAATTCTGATGTGATTGTAATATAAATGAATTTTATATGCATAATATACATAAATTAAAACATGTACATCTACATATATACATATTCATTAAATATATCACATATATATTTGTATTTCCATGCCATCATCAAATAGATATGATTTTATTTCTTCTTCTCCAATTTTCATGACTTTTATTTCCTTTCTTTTACTAAATGCCCTGTCTATAACTTCCAGTACAACTTTGAATAGAAGCATTAAGAATAAATATCCATGTCTTGTGCCTGATCTTAAGGCAGAAGCATCCAGTCCTTTACCAATAAGTATTATATTAGCTATAGGTTGTTTACAATTTCCATTTTTCAAGTTATGGGATTTACTTTTACTTTCTAGTTTTTAAGTGATGTAGTCATTAAAGAGTGAAGTTTTTTTTCCAAATGCTTTATCTATATGGGTTGAAATAATCATATGAATTATATTTTTTATTTTATTAACATGGTATATAATCTAAATTGATTTTCAGTTTGTTAAATGTTGTATCTCAGGAGTTAATTCATTTGTAAATGGTATATATCTTTATATATGTTTTGCTGGATTTGGTTTATTAGTATTTGTTGAGGATATTCACATCCATATTAGTAAGTAATACTGGTCTACAGTTTTCTTTCCTTATGATATTTTCATCTATTTTTAAAATCAGGATAATGCTGGCTTAATTCAATGACCTAGGAAGAGTTACTCCATCTTCCATTATTTAGGAAAGTTTATGGAGTATTGCTATTATCTCTGTTAGAATTGAACAGTGAAGTCATAACGCCATGGGCTTTTCTTTGTGGGTAGTTTGTTGGTTACCAATTCAATTTCTTATTTGTTATATGTATATTCCTATTACTATATTTTCCATAGATCATTTTCACTGCATTTGTTCATTTTACCTGAATAATTTGATCTATGTCATAGTATTATGTGTGTAATTATTTAAAATCTTTATTTCTATAAAGATCAGTAGCAATACCCCTCATTGTTTAGATTTTTAAAACAACCTAATTTGAGTTTTATTCATTTCATATTTGATTTTCTATTGTTTAATTTAATAATTTCTGCTATATTTATTATTGAATTCTTCTGCCTTTAAATTAGATTATTAATGCACATTAATTATACAAATTAATGTGTTTCAGTGTGACATTTACATAAATGCATATATTGTGCTCTGGTCATGTCCACCATTCCATCTACCTTCTTTTTCTACCTCTCTGCTACCCTCAGCCTAGATTATTTTCCCCTCCCATAATAATCCCTCTATTAGGTCATTTTATTTTTTAATTTTTTCATATGAGACAAAACGTGATTTTTTTTCTGTTTCTGCTTAATTTTGCTTAGTACATTGTTCTTTAATTGTAATTTCTGGTAAGTGATATGATTTCATTCTGCTTTATGGCAGTATATTACTTTGTTGTGGATATAGACCATATATTTTTTATTCACTTATCTTTTGTTGGGTACCTAAGCTGATCTTGGCTATTTTGAGTAGTGTCATAATAAACATTGGTATGCAGGTATGTATTTTGTATGCTGACTTAATTTCCTGTTAACAAATACCCAGGAGTAGTATAGGTGGGTCTTATGGTAGCTTTTAGTCTTTAGTCTATATTATTTATTTCTGCCATGTTATTATTTCTTTCTTTATGCTGATTTTAAGTTTAGTTCATTCTAAAACCCTAAGGTATAATTATTAGTTGTTTTTCTGAGATCTCTCTGCTTTTTAAATGTAGACATTCATACACCATAAACTTCCTTCCTATAACCACTTTCAGTGTATTTTCAGTGTATCCCACAGGTTTTGATATGTTTTCATTGCTGTTTGATTTTAGAAAATCTTTAATTTCCCCCTTGATTTCTTCCATGTCTTACTCTTCACTCAAAACTTCAATGCATAATCTCTCTGTGTGTATAATTCCTGCAGTTTCTCATTTTATGGATTTCTGGTACCCCAC